AAACATGTCAGTCAATTTGACAACCTTGTCGGAAATATTATTCAATGAAAATATTGTCCGAACCCTTAGTATTTCTCTTCGATAAATACTTTAACACATTGTGAACCACTTTTCTTTCACGACTATAAAAAGATTTTAGCAATTTAATTTACAAAATCAATTGCGCACATTTAAAATAAAGTTTGTTTACACTTTGACAGCAATAGACTGACATGCAAGTTGACATGTCAATGAAGTTTCAGTTACTGTTGCCATTAAAAGAAATTAGTACCATTAGTTTTCCGCAACATGGCGAGGGTTTTTATGTTCCTGGTCAGGATATAATAATTTATTACTTTGCACTAAAATCTTTAGAAAGAAGACGTTGGAAAGTCTTAAATTGATGTCCAATTTAGATACAGACAGTCAACACTAATACAATTAATTAGCTGAGACAAGTTAAGTACGCGAATTGGATAAACTGGAGATTCTGATTTAACGTCCAATGTAGTGCCACGGTAATGTAGTGCTACTACTTATCGCAACGAAATGTTACAAACGTTTAAAATTGTATTTATGTAAGTATAGAGAAGTGTTTGAAACATTGTTAGATCGAATAAACTGATGGAAATCACTTGAATTCAGCGAAAAGTACCAGGCTTAGGACACCCAATTTCGTAGATCCATTTTATGCGCGTGTCCGTTTTACTCAAAATACTTTCTATTTACAACTAGCTGACCCGGCGAACTTTGTTCCGCCTTAATGGCAGTAAATAAGCAGACTTTTTTTTTTAATTTCGAACGGGATGAAAAGTATCCTATGTCCTTCTCCTGGCTCTAAACTACCTCCCTGACAATTTTCAGCTAAATCGGTTCAGCCGTTCTTGAGTTATAAGCGAAGTAACTAACACGACTTTCTTTTATATAATTATATAGATGTGGTTAAAATGTAGAGAATATAATGCAGCGTCTGCCAAATTTTGTTCCGTAAAACGAGTGGATAGAATCTTACAGTTCTTGATGAAATTGCATATTTTATACGATAATACACCTAGCAAGATTTTGCTTGAGCTTCATAAGCCTTCCTCGAGTTTCATTCATAAGAGTAACTCATATATCATGAACAGAGTAATTTAACGCTTTTTTACCCCACACCCAAAATTCGCTTTTTTGTTAGAATCTAACATTTATGATTTGTTACATTGGATATCGTGATCGCTTCGCTATATCTCTAAGTTAGATAGGGGACGTATTTCCATTAGGGATTGCAATCCGGTCCGGCGGATCCGGTAATCCGGCGGATCCGGTGTGTTTTTGGACCTACCGGATCCGGTGACTCGACGCCGGATCCGGTGGCGGATCCGGTAAAGCAAAAAATACGCGAACGTGAACTGGGAAAGTCGAGCGCGCACGCATTTGCCAGATTGCTAGACGTGCCGCTCGTTCGACGTTTCTTAGGAGTCAGATTATTTCTTAAAAAACACTTACTTTAAAAGACTGTTTTGTTGATTTAAGCCTGTGTAAATTATTAATAAGAGTTTAATAGTATTATTACTTAAGTACTTTCAGATACTTACATACAGCAATAAGTGAGAGTCAGACTGATTACTAACTTTATTATTTAGAATTTTCATAATTTTATTAGTACAAATAGTACGTACTTACCAAAAATTACAATTAATACCGAAATATATAAATAAAAGTGACTTTATTTTCCATAAATACGTATTTTTTTTATGTACTTTAATAAATCTGTAGAGAGGTAAATTCTGTACATGAAATATATTTTCAAAATAACTATTAGGGGGTGATTAGTGATCGATACTGATGCCAAAAATGCAATCAGTAAATTTTTTGTCTGTCTGTCTCTCTGTCTGTATGTTCCTTATAGAAACAAAAACTACTCGACCGATTTTGACGAAACTTGGTACAATTATTCTTTATACTCCTGGGCAGGTTATAGTATAGTTAGGAATTCTCACGGGAACAGGAATTAACGGGAAAATTCTTTTGTATGAAAAATCTAAACCGCTTAAGTTAGACGCTTGAAATTTGGCATGCAAGTACCTTAGTAAACTTAAAGCTTACTTACAACAGGATATTGCAAAATTCCCACGGGAACGGGAGTTAGCGGGAAAAAACATTTATATGAAAAAATCTAAACCGCGTAAGATAGATGAAGGAGGTAAAACGGGATCCACGCGTACGAAGTCGCGGGCGGCTGCTTCAAAACTAAAAATCACTAAATACTAGACCAAGTAACTTTGCAATCCGGCCGGATCCGTCCGGATCCGGCCGGATTAGCGTCAATCCGGTGAAATCCGGCCGGATTGAAAATGATACCGGATTGCAATCCCTAATTTCCATGGTAAGGATCCAACCCAATACCTATGAATGAAGTTGTGGGTTGGATCTTTACCATGGAAATACGTCTTGCATAAAATTGCTTCAAATGCGTAGTAGAGTGGTAATCATAACCTATTCGATCGGTATGGTAATTTTTTGTAGAAAATAAAAGTCACATTTGTACAAGTATGAAAATCCAAATGTTAATGTTCTACTGTATTCATGAAGTGAACCCATTCAGCCCCCTAGGTTCCCAGGTCAGTGACATACCCATAATGTACCGTCGACAGCACATAAGACTACAATTTTGTTGCAAAATAGCACGTATTAGAAGTAAATAAGGTTGCTGTTCAGCTCGATGTGATGTCGTTCCGTACTATTGTAAACTAAAAGCTTGGCAACGGGACCATCTCCCCGACAGAATACCTACTCATGATTGATTACTGCTCTCCTGAGCTGGCGCGGGAAAAATAAAATTGGCTTTTAAGAGGCACATAATGTTGTACAGTGTAAACAACGTCCCCTGAAGATCGGTGAAAATTAATACAAGATGAGAAATCTTCAATAACATTTTTTGTTTCAGCTAACATCTTTTTTTACGAGAAAAAAGGTTAGGTTCGTATTTATTAAAAAATAAAAACTTTAAACAGTTTTTTTTTCTAGAGATCATTCTCAATTATTAAAGCAGCGATACTTAAAGCCTGTGATAAAACTATGGCTGCTTCGCTTCATCTTAACTTTAACCATAACTTTAACCAGTGCTTTTGTAAGTGTGACAGATTTTTGAGGTTTGATATAGTTAAAGTAAGATGGTACAACCCAAAGTATAGTTAAATAACAATTTTCCGCAGTTGAAATTTAGTCTTCTTCACTGAAGTGTAGCACAGAAGCCTTGTTTTCTATTCTCAATTTAATTAACCAATGGTACTTGAAGATGCTTTTGGAGAATTTAATTTCACAAATTAACTGTTCACTGGAATCAGGTTGAAAAAGTATCGTTTCTCGTAGTTTTGTTCAGCTGTTTATTTATTTACACAAATAATTGGTTGGGTTTTTGCAGATTCGTTTGCGGTCTGCTCGCATGTTTATTATTCGAGTAATTTTCGTTGCTTACTTGGAATATTTCCATTGGGTGTATAAACATAAACGTAAAAATTGTTTACCATAAAATTTTTAATAGAGCTGAATTATATTCTAAACATAAATTAGCATATTTTGGCGTGACTTCGTACTGTATCACAATCCTACTACCTACTTAGTACTTGATACAATACTCAATATTTTACATAATAAATAATTTTACATGAATAATTTCTTTCAAATATATTCTGCGACTTTAAGTTACATACCTACGAGTAATTTACAGTAAATTGTTATACATTTAGGTACCTATTTACGATTAGTAGTTACCTACCTTATGAAATCGTAAGATGCCTACTAACAAGAGGATACTTTGCTCTACATTATAACTTTAATAAAAAGCTAAGATTTTAAGCAAGTAACTTAATGTTATTGATAGTCACCTAAACTTGATATTCAGTAAACAGGAGTGGAAGTATAACGAGAGCAGAGTCTTTTATAATAACGAACCTCCTCAACAAAGCAAGGACGAGATATTAGGTTCTTGACTTTAATGAAATAAATATTCTCTTTACAATTTTACGAAAGCGCCCCTAATTGAATGGAGAGCAAGTGAAATTGTTTGTAGTACGAGTTAAGCACCTCTACAATTTTATTATTGGACTAGCGGCCACCCGCGACTTCGTACGCATGGATCCCGTTTTACCCCTTAAAGTTGGAGTTTCGTAAAATCCTTTCTTAGCGGATGCCTACGTCATAACATCTACCTGCATGCCAAATTTCAGCCCGATCCGTCCAGTGGTTTGGGCTGTGCGTTGATAGATCACTATGTCAGTCAGTCAGTCAGTCAGTCACCTTTGAGTTATATATATTTAGATTGCCAGCTAGTTAAACTCTTAGTTAGGCCTTACAGAGGAAATGGGCGCTGGACTTGTCGGTATATGTACGTACAGCAAGCATAAAATATACCAGCAAGTATACATATGTATAGGATAATTTTTTGAGTGTGCACTTCTTGATCGACCGAAATACATATCGTAGAAAAGTCTCCCAGCTTTAACTCTACAACATAACATTAGCTAGCTATTAAGTAACTCTTTTTTTTTCAAACAAAATTTTCAGACGTCCCTAGAAATATGTAAAAATATTTCATGAATAATATTATGTTTTCTTTAACGAAAATTGCATAATATGCTATAGGTACTCCACCATTATTACACCGTGTGTGTCTGCGGCAATTGATATAAATGAATTATTAAATAAAAGGGAATTACGATAGACTTAGTCATACGCCTAGAACTTTACACGATCTTGCTAATATAACAAACAAACACACGTTATAAACACGTCTACAAACACGTCTAATAACAGTCGCCTTTGGTTTGTCTATTTAATTTCCTTTATTTGCTTATTATTACAATGCTGAAGCCGTTTTGTCACGGTTTCTAATATTCAATGATCACCATTGTTAAACAAGTAATTACGTCTTAAATCAAACTTCCAATTAAGTTTATTATGTCGTCTCCCAACCTCACTCCTTCTGGTTTAACAATCACTAACTTAACTGTAGTTAATGGCCTTAAATCTATTTTTAGGAATCAAGATGGCGTATCTCCTGAAAACTATGTGGAGGAGTTCTATCTTGTCCCCCCTGAAGCGTTCAGGGGCCACCCTCCCGCCCCCCTTCGTTTGTTCTGAGGAGGTACTGGCGGCGAAGTCGGAGGGCAAGCCTATAGTCGCGTTGGAGTCTACGATCATCACCCATGGTATGCCTTACCCGAAGAATGTGGAGACTGCTTTGGAAGTCGAAAATACTATTAGACAACGTGTGAGTAACATTTATTTTTTTGTAAATTAAATACAAAAGTTAATAAATATGTGTGCATATTAATTTATTAATAATGCATGCACTTAAATAATTAAAACTTAATTAATTTACCGATTAAGACTAGGCGCAGACCACCGATTTTTAGTTGGCCGATAGTTGTGCCCGATTTTTAATTGTATGAAGAATCGGCCAAATCAAATCGGTGTAATGTGCGCATTTCCATACATGCCCATACTGCTCAACTCCCCGACTAAACTATCGGTTGACGAAAAATATCTTCTCAGATTTAGAAATTTAATAAACGAGTGGTCTAACATTTTTTTTGTTTATTTCAATTATTTCAATCATTAATAAAGGCAACTCTTTCAGTTCTAAACGGTTGTCACTGTTAACTTTAGTTTATATAATTTGTTTAGTTTTTTTTCGATTGTTATACTGACGTATTCAATAAAACAAAAAGAAAAAGATTTAAGTAATTAAAATCTACGATCGACCACGGTACACAAACCTTTTTTTTTTTTATGTGATAGGAGGCAAACGAGCAAACGGATCACCTGATGGTAAGTGATTACCGTCGCCCATAGACACCCGCAGACCCAGGACCTACATTCCATTTCTCCATTTATGTCCACATAGAACATAGAATCCATAATCATATTTCTAACCTTGGAGTGTCTGTCTGAAGCCACAAGGTCCACTCCCCCGGTTGTCATTTATTCATCTGCGTAATAAATTACTCGAGAACAAAAAGATATAAATCTAGAAACAAGGATCTCATACATTCTGGTATTTATAATTTACAGCCGCGGCCACACTGTGTCCTCTGGCCGTCCTTATTGATATAAAAAAATAATTCCAGCCCAATATTATGAGGTTTTATTATGTATTGAATAATAAAGCTGGAAGATACCTTGATAATGTCAAAGTTTATTGTCATGAGAATATAAAATATAAGATAATAAGACGAAATGATAGAGCTTTCAAAAATCGGTACTGCAAGTTACAGAAAAATAAGGCCCAAAGATAGAGTAGGTACCTATATTTATTTTATGCAAGACAAGGCAGGTATTTGACCGTAATCGCTTGTAATTAAGGAGTTCTGAAAAATCTGTACGTTTCCAGATTTTAAACTTATTTGTAACAGTGTTCTTAACTAAGAAAGTTATTTTATAAAAAAAAAATACTTTAACAACCCTTCTCTTTCACCTTTCTCTCTATAAACTACTTATCAAATAAACCTGCAATTTTACGTGATATGTTATAAACTAAGTATAAATCACTATTATAGATTATAGCTTTTCCTAAATCACATGCCACAAACAATAAGTCAGGATGAATTATTCAGGTCACGGGTTCACGACACTTCTTCCGTACTGATACAGGACATTCGATCTCAAAAGTTTGGAATCCACTGCACTGAATGGTTCTAATGTTTAAATAAATAAATCTAATAAAGTTTTGAATTTTTTTTTTGAATGTTGTTGTCATACTTCGGTACACTTAGAAAATAAAACTAAAATGGTTTAATTAGCAGAAAACATGGGCAAACGCTCCCAAATAAATAAAGATGTAAAAAACATAAACCAAAATATGCTCTCTAATTTAAATGGTCTAAATTACAGGGTGCGGTACCAGCGACGATTGCCATTCTCAAAGGCAGGTTGACCATAGGCTTAACAGAAGACCAAATCCAAAACTTGGGACAGGCCAAGGGCGTGGTGAAGGCTTCCCGAAGAGACCTGGCACCAATAGCAGCAGCTGGATTAGATGGTGCTACAACGGTCGCTGGTACCATAGTGGCTGCAGAACTAGCAGACATACCCATCTTCGTAACCGGAGGCATTGGTTAGTAAATAGTAATTTTAATTAACTTGTTAGGCTGGTTGCACCATTTTAATTTGACTATAACAAACGTGTCAAAAATCTGTCAAACTCCATACAAAAGACACCGGCTATCGTTATAGGATTAAAGTTAGGTGGTGCAACTCAACCTTAGCTTCGAACTGCGTTTGATTAATTTCACTGCGAGTCCGATGACAGTTTAACTTTCTCTTGGGACTAACTTAGCCTTCACTGGTTGTGTTATGCGGTCAAACTAACTATAAATCTTAGCTAAATAGGATGTAGTTAGTGGTGGGAACGAGAATTTGGGATAGTCCCTTCCTTCCATTGTTTTTTTCTTATACAAAACATTTTTCTTTTAAATCTTCTTTAGGTCCCCATATCGAACTACCCTGTTCAATATAAAAAGGTTTTAGTTGAGGTTTTTTCATTGAATAATATACAGCAAATACGCACGTAGAGTAATAACTCTAAATAAAGATAAATTGGATCTGAAACAAGCCCTAAAGATTTGTATGTCACATTTTATAATACTGATCACAGACTGATACTCGATTATTTTGTTGGAAATTCTGCACCAAATTAACTACGTGACTGCTTTGTTGTATTTTCTTTTGTAGTCACGTAAATAACCTAAAAAATTTTTGTTATGAAAAATGGGGGCAAACTTCCAAATAAATGTAACGTATTTTGTTGGTCCACACGCGATACGATTGCGGCCCGTAATTCAATAATCAAATTTTGGCTGTGAAATACTACCATTGAATGCTATCAGTTTATTGAAAATTGATGGAATTGAGCAAACAGAATTACGAGTTAGCGTGCTAGGAAATGTCCAATATGTGAAATGCATTCTTTCAATACAGTAAAAGCTTTGATGCATGAGTCTATTCACTTATTCACGAAATGTATGAATGAATATTTCTAGTAGGTAAGTAGGTACATAATAAAATTAGTTAGCTGGTACTAGCTCATTATTATTCTGTGGTACTGGTAACACTATCTTATTACCGGCTGCAATTATCAATTCATGCCTTGCCATGATTAATTTGTATAATGTGAACATGAACAATTGAACAATTAATGATGACATTTTGAACAAGGAAGCTCAGTAGGACTATGTAATTGACTATGCTCCGGGGAGTACCTACGAGTACATAAATAATGACAGCTGAAATAAGCAACATTCAGATAGTGTAAAATGCCCATAATATAGCTCAATCGTATCAGAAAACGGTCAGTTAATTACATCATCATCGTCATCATCATTTCAGCCATAGGACGTCCACTGCTAAACATAGGCCTCCCCCATTACTTCCACATCGCACGGTTGGTAGCGGCCTGCATCCAGCGCCTTCCTGCTACCTTTATCAGGTCGTCGGTCCACCTTGTGGGTGGACGTCCCACGCTGCGTTTTCCGGTTAATTACAAACTACGTAAAAATGGCTTTTTCTGTTTAATATTGTTGTAGACTTAAAAATCGAGTTGTACAAAAAACTAAAAAACAGTAAGTCTGAACAATAGTTTTACAGATCGATCGTAACTATAACTATCGGTAGTATTACCGAGAATAACGTTGTAATAACAGCGTTCGCTCGTTCACAAAATGGTGCTTTATTAGATCTGACAAAGTTTGCTACCTAGAAACGTATCACCTGCAACTGGCGCAGGGAAAACGATTTGACGCGAGCACTATTAAAATGAAACTGGATATCAACAGTGTTGGTAATGGTTTACCTTCTTTGATCGATGATCGTCAAGTTTATTAATATGATTCACTATAATCTTTGTAGGTATTGTTGTAGCGAACATAATCTTTGAGCAATAGGTGGATGAAATGTTTGCATGAATTAGAAAATTTTGAAAACAAATTGGTAATATAAAAGTTCAGCACATGTTCAGGAAATAAAATTGTGTCCACTCGCTCAGTTGAAATCATCAAAGGGTTTAACCCGCTATGAAGCTCGTTTTCAGTAAAAACGACAAGTATAAAAATGAATAAAGGACAGTGCCAATCGATGTATGGAAGTTGGACCAAGTGCTGCCCAGACTGAAACTATAGTGCATTTTGTTCCTCAGGCCAATACTAATTTGTAAACTGGAGCGCACTGAAATCTATCCCTGGAGTTAAGAGAAAAAAAGAGTTTTGTTTTGAATTATTTACATACAAAATATCATCGATGTATAGCTACTACGCATAAGATTTCGCGATTTTGGCATTAAATAACACTCGCTATGTTGAACTTAACCATACTGCATGCGTACACCTTACTTTAGTACGACTTCGACATTATTTATAAGCGATCAAGCGCTGTTTCAGTAGTTTAGTTAATTGACCGAAATCAATTATTTCCAAAATGGAGCAAGAAGTTTTAGCTTACAATAACTTCAATAATCTATTCTAATACACCAATAAATTGATTTTTCGTAAGGATAGAGAACTAAAACTTCTTGCTTCATTTTGAAAATAATGATTTCTCTCAACTAACCAAACTATTGCAACAGCGTTAAATCGCTTAAAAGAATGTCTAAGTCGCACTAAAGTAAGGTGTACGGATGCAGTATGGTTAAGTTCAACATAGCGAGTGTTATTTAATGCCAAAATCACGAAATCTTATGCGTAGTACGTATATATCGATGACATTTTGTATGTAAATAATTCAAAACAAAACTCTATTTTTCTCTTAACTCCAGTGATAGATTTCAGTGCGCTTCGGTTTACACATTACTATTGGCCTGAGGAACAAAATGCACTATGGGTTGATTCTGGGCAGCACTTGGTCCAGACCCTGGCACTATCCTTTATTTACGACCATAAAAATCGTGGGTAGAATTCAAACTTATTATTTTATCAGTAGGTACATATTCAAAATATGCACCATCCACCATCTGACGCGACATCTAACTGGCATAGATATGAAATTGTGGTTCTTAAAATAGAACTCCATTTGCATAGATATTTCAGAATGCTCTACTAGATTGTCAGTTGGGTACACGGCGGGATATCTACGTCGTACAGGTACGTGAATCGGCTATCACGTTTCACGGTGTGACGACTAAACCTTGTTACGCTCGTCAGGGGGAGAGATGGGCATAGAAGCCTGGCTGGTGATAGCCAATTGGGGTGTGTAGGTGTTGTCTATTTGAAGGATATCAAAGTTAACTTGAAGGAGATAAACCTAGTGCCGCAGACACCTTAGTTTATTTTGATTCCAGCATTTATATAAATTTGATTTCTCTCTATGTATCTTATCTATTAATTATACTTATAGTAAAAAAATAAAATATTTGACATCTTAGATACTTTTCTACTCATACAGACATTCCGGGCCTTTCTGAATCAATTCAAATCATTTATTTAGCTTGAAAGCGGTACATGTAAAAATAGACAGAAGCTTACTTTTCACTAATCTAATTACTCAAAAATAGTTTTCAATCCTGAATACAAGTTTTTACAGCCGCTAAAAAGATCGTTTAAGCAAAATAGCAAATAAACGTTTAATCAACTCACCCAGGCGTAAAACACAAACAATCGCTTCTCTGATAGTTTGTCACGCAGTTTGCCCCGATCTCCCGCGTGAGCGCTGAAAGTCACGGGGCGGCAAGCACGAACGCACCGTTAACACTTCAATTATCCGCGGTTTAAGCCAGCCCGGAATATCAATGAATTTCGACTAGGGTAATTCCAGGATAGGTGCCCCAGTGGGATAGGTGCCGCGATTTTAAGTACACTATGTTACAAGCAACTTAGCCTAAAGTTATAGTACGTATAACAGAAAGGGACCTCCCCGTACCACTTTTCGCCTCGCAAACCATCAAAGAGTGCATTCGTTTAGCCAGTGAGAGCAAAAATCTTCCGCGGCCAGACCTTAGCGAGCGTCGAAATAATATTGGTAAGCATTTTTTAATGGATAATTTTTTTGTCAGCTGTAAAATGAAGTAGATTTTTATATAATTTGATCTATCTTATAAATTATACGGGATAGATATGTTGAATTCGATTTTTAGTGTTATTATATTTTTTATTAATAACGGCACCTATCCTATGCTAAAAGGATAGTTGCCTAATTTTTTTTTGGTATAGATGCCCTTAGGGCCATGTCCCATGCACCTAGGGGCATCTATCCTAACCTGCTCTTTTTGTCACAGGTAGCAAGTAAGAAGAAAAAAAGAATGTAGTACGGCTAACCTTAGGAAAGTAATAAATAGGGTGCCCTTCTGATCGAATTACCTTTTTACCCGACTGCGCTAGAAGGAGTAGTATTATTTTTAATAAAAAATATCAAATTTCATTTTTAGTTCATTTAATAACAAACAATCTTAAATAATAATACTTGGCTTGTTTGATTTCAAAATGCATTTGATCCTTAGAATTCAAAAACTGTATTAACGAGTCATCTATCCCTGCATCAGGCATCTATCCTTTGAAGCAATCATACAGTGAGTCTTCTATCCCCCACATTAGGCGTCTATCCCACTTTTTAGTGGTCAATTAAAATGGTATTTACTCAGAATCGGTGTAACTTAAACTAAAATAATTATAGTAATATCATAGACGAAAGACCAAAGTTTACAGATACTAAGGTCAAATTGTTGATAAAAACTTACTGACTAAGTTACAGAGCTGTTTCAAAAAGTGGGGCATCTATCCTGGACTTAGGTACCCTATGCCACGGGTGGATTGGATTCATGGATTTTAATTACACGCATAGCACGCCTAGGTATCTACAGTCCTATCAACTTAAGCTGAGAATTGCATTTGTGTGAGTGATCGCCAAAAGTACCGTTAGTAAAACACATACAAATAAAATTAATGTTTTATTAAAAGGAAGTCTAATACAAGGAAGGAAGTAAAACACTTGCTACCAATTGGGCCGATGTAACGACACTTGACACATCCTTTTAAATAAATAAATAAATAAAAACAGGTCCTCGCTCAGCATATGCCAAGGCACGAAGTACCTCGACGCTGATATTCTGCGAGCACCGTTTACTTA